TTAATTTTCAATACAAAATTAAAGATAAGTAGTAAATTTAAATAGTGACACACTGCTAATTGATCTTCAAGATACTTGTAAAGTATTATTAATTAAAAGTATTTTTTTTTACAAATAATTTAAAAGTAGTTTTACAGTTCTATTTTCTTTTCAGTTTTATTTTTTTTATTTTTAATTTTAGTTCAGAATACTGTATAAGGTAATATTAAAAATATGTTAAGTATTAAATGTGTACATTTCCTATTTTACTTTTGGTTTTAGTCTTGTTCTATTTTATTTTTAATACAAGATAAAATTTAATTTAATACTAAATTAAAGATAAAATGTAGTAAATTTAATAGTGACGCACTGCTAATTTATTTTGTAGATATTTGTAAAGTATTATTAATTAAAAGTATTTTACAAATAATTTAAAAGTAATTTTATAGCTTTATTCTTTTGTTTTTTCAGTTTTATTTTCCAGTTTAATTTTAGTTCAGGATACTGTATAATATCAATTATAAGTCATAATAAAATTTAATCTATGTATATTCTATTTCCCAGTTACTCCTAAGACTTAAATTGTAAATTGTAACATTGCCAATATGACCCTTCCATAATCAAAAATTACTTAATCGGGCATGGGCTTTTATCTGTCCGGGCGTTTAAGTGAGTGGCTTTGCCACTTACGCGCACAGGTAACTGCGGCCTGCCCAAAAATCGTGGATGGTCCTCTTAATTATTTTCCCATTTTTTATCCCAGTTTGATGGGTTTTTTCATAAGAGAACCAAGCGTTGCTCTGTTGTATATATAACTTTTGCTATATGTACGACGTTTAGGGCTAGTGCGCTTAATATCACGTATCACGTATCACGTAAAAAACATCAAATAAATAAATTTATTTTCATTTCAAAATATAATAATATAAATAAAAAATATTAAATCATATCATGTTTATTTGTTGATAATAATAAAATATTACATTAAATATAAATAAAATAAATTATTTTACTAAAATAAATAAATAATAATTAATGCTAAGCATCGATGCAGAATTTTGACTAATTTAATTTTAGCCGATTTATATAGGCTTAGTTAGACGATTTTTAGGCTTAGCCGATTTTTAGGCTTTGGCGTAGTTTTTAGCCGATTACGCAACACTAAGTCTAGGTTAATATTGGAAGGAGATGTGCAAAGTTAGGCCCGGCCCGAACGGGCATAGGGCCGGGCTCGAGCCTAATTCTATTTTAAGTAATCGGGTTCGGGTCGGGCCTAATATTTTTAAAAAAATTTCGGGCCTGGTCGGGTCTGATTTTGGAAATTTTATTAAATATATCTAAATTTATCAATTTTATATTGAATTTTTTATGTAAAATAAAAATTTTTGATTTAATTTATTGAAACTAAACGCTATATAACATATGTCTTTTATTTTAAGTAATTATAAAAATTAATTTCTATATTTAAATAAATTCGGGCCTGGCCGTGCCGGAAAAACTTTTTTTAAAAAAATTTCGGGCCGGGCTTGAAAAATTAGGCCCGATGCAGATCACTATGGAAGATTTGTTTGTCCTTGTTCTCAAAATCATAATATAAATCTCGAGAAATTCCTGATCATATTATCTCTTGGTTTTCTAAGTTGTAATATAATTCATAACTTCAGCCAAATCCAATTTTTGAAAAATATTGCATAAAATTGTAGTATAATAAATAACACTGTGTGACAAGAAAATAAAAACAAGTTTTGGTGCAGAATTTGACGCTGAATTCGAATCCGTTTTCCAAATTTTCTCTATACGTCAAGTTATAAAAATATTACCGTATAAAGACAACTTTTCGAAATCTCAAAAATGGTAAAATTTATGTCTTTATACGGATATATTTTAAAAAGTATCGAATAAAAATCCCTGAAAATTGGTGAAAGTGTTAAACTTATATTTTTTTAAAAATTTACTAATTTTTATAATTTTTAATGGATTGGTTTTTGAGAAAAATGGTAAAGAATTTCGTTTGGGGGGTCTTATGTTTTCAATTTAAATTACTATCAAAATTATTAACTTTAGAAGATAAATTTTATATAATTTTGCTTCAAATATGCTCAAGATTATATATTAATTCTAATTATGTTTCAAAAGTACTCTATGCCATGAAAATTCAACCAAAATCTATAAATTAAAAAAGTCGGTACAGATATTTTCGAACTTTTTAATTTGTACACTATTATTGAATTTTCTTTGCATAAAGCATTTTTCAAGCAAAATTAAGGTAATATTTATCTTTTTTAGTTGTATTTAGTAATATTTTATGCATTTATGATCAATTTATACCAAAATCAGATATCTGTACCCACTTTTTTAATTTGTACTCTTTTTGAATTGAGCATTTTTGAAGCAAAATTCATTTAAAATGCAATAATTGGTAATTTTTTCATATTTTTTATTAATATTTATCTTTTTTAGATGTATTTAAGAATATTTGCTTTTTTAATCAATTTATATCAAAATATATGATTTTCCAATGGAGTACCTTGAACCCGTAGTATGGGCAATAAATAATAATGCCAAATAACAAATAGGAAGAAAGGAGAAGAATTATCTTTTTTCGCGCTTAATTTTTCATATTCGCGTTTAATTTTCATAAAGCGAAGAGAACGAAAGCCACAATAAATAAATATATTAAATGTAGGCTATATTAAAAAAGATTTTATAAATAAGGGTAAATTTAAAAAATATAGGTTGTTTAAAAATTGAGTAAGGATTTTATAAAAAAATGTATAATAATAAGGAAGGTTTGCTGCAAAAATTAAGATATTTTTTTAGTTGTAGGGATCATTAGAACCGAAGTTATAAACCTTCAAAAAGTGCTAAAAATGACCTTTTTGGCGACTTTAACCTCAAATAAATAAAAAAACCTGACGTGCTAGAAAAAAACTGACAGCGGATTTAGAATACGCATAAAAATTTGTCTTAAAACATGTTTATTTTATTTTCTCCCAAAAAATCAAGTCGAAATTTGTCACACAGTGTAATTTATCATTCCAATGGCAAAAAATTGGCAGCCATATTAAATCTAATTATGTATCAGTTTTAGGAGAAATATCTGTTTCATATGATTCTGATATTTCCCCAAGAAAATATAAAATAGGCTCTTCTAGACTTAAAAAAATGCTTTAACACCTTTATATCGAAGGCTCCATCTTATCGTGCAGGTTTTTTGCAGTTTCTTTTTTTCCTGTAACACAAGAAGTCTCAGAAATAATTATATCCAGCAAATTATATCTCCGAACCTTTCATACACTATAAATTTTCTAATCAAAGTTATTAGTAGAGATAAAAAAAATTTTTTGGTTGATAAAATTTTATATCCATCAGTGTTTAAGGTTTAAAAAATGTAAGAAAATAAACTTTAAATTTTATATATTTATATTAATTTTAACTTTTTGCTGATATTTAGAATAGAATATAAATTTGAAATATACTTTACAATTCACAATTCATGAAACCCTTTAAATTTTTCAAAAATTCTTTACGGGAGGAAGGGGAGGGGTCTCTCCCCAAACTAGTTATGCACCTGAGCCCTTTTATATATATATTTTTTAAATTTGCGATGGAAGGGGGGGGGGGGTCTTAAGTTTTTGATGTTCATGTTCACTGTTATTTAAAATGTAATTTTATTAATATTTAAATTTTGGTCGCATTCATTATTTTAAATAAATCTAGATCTGTTTATAGAAACTAGATCTTTAAAAAATAAATTCATAATCAAAATCTAAAATGAATCGCAAGGCTTTCCGATCCCTAAGTAAAATGGGTTGGCAAAAATATTTCGACTGAGCTGCAGCCTATAAAAAATAACCATTTATTAATTATAGTCATAAAATACAAACAATCTTCAGCCCGTTAGTCACCTTTATTCTAATTTTAAGCATTTAAAAATTATTCTTCTTTCAAACTTTTTCATTTCTTTTAAGTTTAATGGATTTAAGTCATTAGAAATGCTTACTGATTTAAAAACTATCAGTCGTAGTCATGATTACAGCTAATTAAAGGTATGCATAACTAAGTTAGCTCGGACAGATTTTTCAAAATCCAGGTCCGGTCCAGTTTTTTTATAATAAATGGGTCTAACCCAAAATATATGTAGATGTTGATTTGTTAAACTAAAAACAATATACTCTATGGATTATCTATCACTTCTATCAAATATCTCATCAATAAGTCTAATACATTACATATGTCCTATTTCTGTCAATGATAATTTGACCATGTTTTGAAAATAAAATTGAAGATTATGAACAGAAATATTAGCAAAAAAACTCAATATTATGTAAATGCATTGTCCTTATTTAAGTATACTTATAATTTTTATCACGCCAGTCCGTTATATTCTTTTCACGACCTCACTCCAAATTAATTTTTTCTAGCTTTACCTGGCCCTGGCTTTTCGACCATATAAAGAAAATACAAATATTTCATTTGAAGGACAGACATAAATATGTAAACAATAATAAAAATATTCTATTCAAAGGATAGATATGCCCGGCCCAAATAAAAAAAATTCAGAAAAGGCCGGGCGGGTACCGGGCAATGCAGATCTCTATAGCTAACAAGCTCGTCATTTTAGTTAAACTAATTGGTGGCTTAAATAGTTGTTTTTCCATCTATATTCCCGATGTAATAAAACTAAGATGAAAATTGATATGACAGGTCATTTAAGAATTCATTAGCTTCTCATGTTCTCAACTTCTATCGAAGAAATTAGTTTCGAATGATAATTTATAAAGATCCAAACTGGGCTAACCTAGCCGGCCTAAAAAATAAATTTTTCGTAGACCATTAATCCGATAACCCATTGGTTTAATATTGTTTCTTTCCGGAAAGAAATGTCAGGGTTCAGATTCCATTTTTAAAATCAAAATATGGGTTATTTAGACTCGCCCACGATAAATGGATAAAAAAAATTAACCAAATCAAAACTATTTTTTAAATATCTTTTATAATTTATTAAATAAATAACCCACCTGGATCGAAGCCCGGGCGGAACCTAGGGAGAGTTCCAGGGGATCGGACAAAGCTACCAATGGAGGAGGGCTTAAAAGTGAATCACCCAAAGGATGAGAGGGAGAGAGATTATGAGAAGTCTGCGGGGAAGCACTGGTAACGGGGATGAAGCGGTAACATATGGCGAAACTCGAGTCGGGCGAGCATTGGTGACGAGAGACGCGGTAAGCCGGGAGCACGCGTGTCAGAGTTATAAGCGATTTAAGTGTTGATCCCATCCGGTCGTAAAGGACGCGGACGCCTCCCATAGATTGAGAAGTGTGAATAGGCGTGGTTGGGGTGTTAGGGGTAGGGACTTGAGCGAACATAGGTCCCAAATCTAGGGTAAGATTCCAAAGTTCTAAGACCATGGCCTCACAGTCAACGGTCTTGAGGCTGATCTCTAAACACACCTCTCGGGGATAATGGGCCGTGGAAGACGAATGAACATCGGTGGGGTCTGTGAGGGTTGTACTTATACTGTCAAATGTTGACGCATGACACGTGGACATAGAAACTCTTTCGTTTTCTTTGTGCTTTTCCCAGCAATGAGGTGAACTATCTATCAATAAGTTACGTTTGATTTGTTCGTTCACATCGGGCAGGTTAAGGATAGAAATATTGAACTATAAGGGAAGAGAATAAATAATAAGAAAGAATAATTAGTTTGAATAAAAAAAACTCAGATTATTCATTCTAAATAAGATAGGGCACGGCATGGATCAAAAATAATAATTAAATATTCGAAAATAAAATTTTTACAATATTTTTAATTAAAATTAATATATTTCTAACGAATAGAAAATGTATCATTTTTTTTAAAAAAATCGCAAAAATTGTTTTTTTTCTCTCGAGCTCCAACCCCAAGTGTTAAACAACTTACTACTGTATAATAATTGTATTGGGATATGAAATCCATAGAACTGAGGACGCGATTTTAAAATTCCATAAATATTTGATTTTATCGCAAATGTATTCTAGGTATGCACAAAGTCGCCACACCGCAGATTTTCGACAATTATGTCACGACCTTTTAAACTACTTGGAAAAAAAGTCCTTGGCAAAATTGTAGGAAATTATAAGATTTTTTTCAAATTTAAAATTCGTTATCGGTAAATGATTTAAAATTGAGAGATTTATAATCCTGATTCCCTATCCATATACCAATCCATGATGTATATATACTAGATTGGTGATTCATTCATTAAAAGTGTACATGGATAGGAGTGCATGTAGGTGAATTGTCTTATTTATCATTATAAATAAGCACAATAATGGCCATTTAATCGACAGCAGACCATAAAAAAGACGCTATGGGCCCTTTTTTAATAACAGAATGGCTAATCTAGTAGTATATAATACATCATTGATCCCTAAATGACACTATTATAATCAATAATTTTATTTTCGTAACTCACTTAAACTTACTCCGATTCCGAAGCAATATCTAAAAATATTTTTTTTTTCTTTCAAATGTCAACATTAGAGATATGTTGCTACAAAGGTTGCTCGAACCCGATAAAGTTCTATCAAGAACCGCTCAAAGACTCCTCCCTAAATCATTAAATCTGTGGTAGCTACGGGCATTGGTATAATGCTGATTATTCAAATCCTTTTATCAAAAGGACTAAAGAATAACCAACACCAAATATAATAAATTAATTTTTTCAGATTGTAATTCAAAATAATTTATTATAATTTTATTTTCTTAATCGTTAAAAAATATTTTCTATTAAATATTAGTAAAACTTAAAATGTATAATTAGTTAATTAGTTGAGAAATCTCGAGGGTCAGGTAATATTTGTTTCGTATATATTTGTCGCTATATAAAAAATTCCTTAAATCGAGGTTTTTAATAACATTACTAATAATTAGAGAACTGCACGGGCTGTCCGTAGCCCGACCCGACCCGGCCCGGCCCGGCCCGGCCCGGCCCGAAAATATATATAATAATATTAATATCTTAAATAGTTAGTATAATTTATAATATTAATTATAAAATCATATTATTTAATATTTATCACATTTTAGGATTAAAATGTCAATCATATTAACATGTCATGTCATTATTAATTATTATTTTATAAACCTAACAACCGGATACCAAACTATTTTATTACTAAATTGTGTTTCTCGTAAATTACAAGATAAGACATATTTTATGTAAGTTTTATTTATTATTTAACTAGCCTATACATTGTCTTTTTTAACATTTGTTTTAACCCTACACTACAAAGGTAGAAAAAACTCCCTTAACTACAAAGGTGGGGTCTATTTTACCCCAAATTTTGATTAGATATATCTCAAAACATATTAAAAATTGAGATCTAAAATTTTGAGTATATATTTAAAAAATATTGGAGATAATAAATACAAAATCTTAGATTAATATTTACTTCCAAAAAAAAGTTAGACAAATTTTCTTAAAATTACTGAAATAAAATTTTCTTTTTCAGTACTTCCTTTAATTATTTTATTATCACTAAATAAAATTCAAAAAATTCAAATTTTATTAAATTAATGTTGAATAATGATGATTACATAAATTTTATAAAAAAATATCATATATCAAAAAAAATATTAATCATCAAATATGTAAAATTATTAAAAAATAATAATGTAAATATATATCTTAATATTATTATTGAATATTTTTTTCTTAAGAAACTACAGAGGCGGTAGATACGTTTTTGGACTTCTCTCTATGGGAGGCTGACAATGCGTATTCTGATGCTAGCGCCGAAGTTGACGAGCTAAAAAAATATCTAGATCCGAAATTATGTGTTGATGACGATAATATTTTAAAATGGTGGAAAACAAACCATTATGAGTTTCCAAATTTAAGTATTTTAGCTCTTAAATTCCTGGCTATCCCTGCTTCGTCGGCTAGCAGTGAAAGGGCGTTTTCAGCTGCTGGTAGGGCCTTTGAGGAGAGAAGGACTCGTTTAAAGCCAGATAAACTGGACGCCTCTTTATTTATATATCATAATTATTCACTTTGTGATAATTTTGATAATGATATTGATGAGGTCAATATATAATATAATATGTTCATTATATTTTTTATATATTTATTAACTTTTACATCATATCTATATTCGCATAAATGATGCTTATTATATAATCGTTATAATTTTTAAATTCGCTTGTATATTAATCGTTTTATAATATTTTTTACAAATTTTAAAAATGCAACTTAATATATATCTTGAATAGATTATGGCCGTCAAATAAACTTTTATTTAAGGTGGCTGAACTGAATAAATACACATAAATTTTTTTTTGGTTATTATAATATTAAAACTTAAATTGCAAAATTTTATTCGGGTCGGGCTCGGGTCGGGTTGGATTAAAAAATGTGTGCTCGGGCTCGGGTCGGGCTCGGACAAAAAAAAATTTTAAATTCGGGCTCGGGTCGGGCTCGGGTTGCGAAAAAATTACTTTGCAGTTCTCTACTAATAATTATCTCATTAAAATATTATAAAAGATTAGGTAGATTGTGTCCAAAATTTGCTTCAAAATTTTTAAAAATTTTACGTTAATAAAAGCTTATTACGTGTTATTTTTATAAATTTTTACAAGTTTTTGAATTAAATTTTTTTTAAAGTTGGGCACAAGGTTAAAAAAAGAAGACTTGGGGTAATTGGCCCCCTGTAACCCAAGCGATTCCAAAGGGCCAGGTGAATTCATAGGAAGTAACACGATAATCATTTTGGGTTTTCACGGGAGGGGGGATTAGTGATGTACCTCTGGGGGGTCTGAGCGTAATTATAGACTTTTGAGCAGTTATACCAAAAATATAATGAAATAGACTTATATTTATTGGTAAGCGAAAAATAATTCCCCATTCCCCAAGAAAAAAAATTCCCCGGAAAATATCCCCTGGAAAAAAATTTCCCAAAAAATATCTCCCAAAGGATAATTCCCCGGGAAAAAAATCCTAGAAAAATAATTACCGGAAAAAATCTTCCATAGAAAATTATTCCCCGATAATAAATTACCCATTTTTTTGATTTTAAGTTAAATATAGTGGAAGATAAATCCCAGGAATAAAAAAACAGGAAAAAAATTCTCTGAATAATTTTTAGTAAAATTATCAAAAATAACCCCGCCGCTAAAATAACGAAAATATTTCAAAAATTATATTCAGTATTTTCTGAAAGTTGAGTTATTCTCGACGTTTGATGATTTTTTTTGAGCATTATTTCTGTTTTAATTCTAAGCGATATAGGGTAATAAAATATGAGAATTGATAAATCGGTTGGTAGCTTTGATACTTTATAATTTAGTAAATAGCATAAAAAGTATAAATTTGTGATATTTTGAAAAGAAAACATGATAGATTTTTATATAAATAGATGAAACTTATGGAAGAGGTTATACAATTTAAAATTGAAAAAAAAGTGAAAACATTGTTTCATATATCATTTTAATAAAATAAAAATATTATTATTTCTTTTCTGTAAATTTTTTTTAAAAATTCATAAGCAAAATAATAATTATAAGATTTGAAATATATCAAATCAAGTGCTGATAATTACCTCTTAAATAGATGTTCTTAAAATGGTCAGCATTTTCCATTACTTATGACAGTATTTAATTTAAATTGGGCAGTAAAAAGTATAATTTAGCAAGTTTTATATTGATTTTGTATTCAGCCAGTTAAATTCTTATAATAGGCATTAAATACTTCAGTAAAATAATTGAGACCAGGTTGAATTGCAAATTTCCTATTTCGCCACAGAATATATATATTTAATTATATCATTTAATAGCCCATCATTCGCATTAAAAACAAAAAAGGGCGCTATTTAAGAGTTAATAAATTGCCAACTAATGACAAATTATATTTTATAGAAAAAGACTTCATATATTGCATAACAAAATTATACCAATTGAAAAAGTAGCCTACTATTTTTGAAGGCAATTGTGAAAGGACTCTTAGCCCTGATTTAAATTTTTAATATATTTCTAAAAACTTCATGAAAATGATTAATAATTTGTGTAAAAATAAAAATTTGATTTTAATAAATATCTAAAAGTTGATGAAAATGTGTAAAGGTGAACTAGATTTATTTTCATTTTATTATTTAACACCTCAAATCTTCGAGAGAATTTGAATTTAAAAAACATTTTGATTTAATTAAAGTAGTGCAAATCCGGGTCAAAAATGATATGAATTTATAAATCCGGGCCAAAATAAAAAATCTAGCTGGCCATTATCATTACTTAGCTTGTAATAATATTTTGCTTAATATCACAGAGACTAGGTATCCAATTTGTTTATTTTATAAATATTGTTTTGTTTAATTTTCACCAAACCTGGGTTCGGGATAAGGCCATACATTATACATTATATTAGTTAGGGTTAATTAATAATAATTTAAAAATTTGGTTAGGTTTAATATTAATCACTAGTTATTTTTCATAATTTCGTTACAAGAATTTTTTTAATTTTGTTTTGTTGATTTTCTCAAAAATTTTAAATGTTTTTCCGGGGATTTTTTTCCTATTTTGTTAATTTTCTAAAAATAATTAAATATTTAATAGGATCAAAAAAAAGGGGAATTATTTTCCAAGTGAATTTTTTTTACGGAGAATTATTTTTCGGGGAATTTTTTTTTC